CGCTCGGGCTGCCTTGTCATCGTCTTATCGTTTATCCCTAGACGACTGTGACTTGACCGTGCCCAGCCATCTGGGAAGCAGGTTAACATTGATCTCTATTTTCAACTTTCAAATTCTTCGACATACACAGTGGATAAAATCGACATGGTTGACACAGCCCTCTGATGTTCCAGAATGTGATATAACCTAAAGGTTGGGCTGGGGAAGGAGGGGCATGGTGGGTAGGAGGAGAGCTCTCTGTTCTTAGTCATTGTCGGTCTCCTTATGCCACCTTGTGCCGCACATTTGGGTCCTCGGACATACATGATGTGCCTTTAGCTCAAGGCACTCAATCTATTGGTTCTGCTGCCTGGATTCTTCCCCTGCGCTACCAGGCTGACTCCTACCCATCCTTCAGGTCTCTGTTGGAACCCGATTTCTTCAATGAAGCCTTCTTGACAGACTTCCCGGGCCAGGTGAGGGCCTCATGTCTGTTCCATATTGTTGCATAATAATCTGCTCCTGCCGAGATCTCAGAGATGAACTCAGCCTTGCCTGGAGTCAGTTCTGCGTTTCAGGCCCGTTGTCTTGCTGCTGGCGCACTGGCAGGCTTTGCAGAGCCTCCGCCAGAATGGCAGGGGAAGCAGGGGCAGAGCGATGTCTGGTCGAGCTAAGAAGCGAACCTGGTGCCTGCTTGTGTGGTGTCTGCAGGGCAGCGAGAGGGCAAAGGTCAAAGCTGCATGGTCTCTCATGGCCAAGGCTCACAAGTGACATCACTCCCTGTTAGCGTAGTCTCTTGGTTGGAGCAAGTCACAGAATTAATGGAGACTCAAGGGAAAGGATGCAAATTCACCTCCTGAGAAAAAGTCACACTATATAGGGGCACATAAGCAAGATCGGGAGGACTTGTGGCCTCTTCGCTCCCAACCTAGCACAGGCCTCCCTTGTAGCTTTTCCCTCCATGTGTCTCTTATAACTGTTTTCAGTTTTTGTTGTTGTTCTGGCAGACCTTAAGCTCCTGCCTCCACACCCTACGTGCCGGGATGACAATCACGTCACCACATCTGGCTTGCTTTTGTTATTTTTGAGACAGGGTCTCACTCTGTATCCCAGACTCCTCTGGAACTCACTGTAGAATGCAGGCTAGCCCCCAGTTCACAGCCTACTTCAGCTTCCCAAATGTTGGGAGTGTGGACAAGAGCCATCATACGCAGCCTCTAACTATTATCACCGAAGGCTTCCTTGTGTGATTATTTATTGTCTTTCTCCCTCATGATACAGCAATGTCTGTAAATGTGGATTCATCTTGCTCTTCGATCTATCCCAAGAGCTTGAGTAGGTAAGCGGTTATTGAATAAATAGACCACATGCAGACACACACACACACACACACACACACACACACACATACACACACAGCCCAAGTCACTGACCATGACACTGAGAACTGACTTAGGGACCTGGGAACTGACTTGCTGGGAACTGACTGTTCTTTCTTTTCTTATGGAGTTTAGACTTAGTGAGTTCTTTCCGGCAGCAGCCAGCTCCCACTGTACATTGGTCTCAGGACTTTTGAGCTAAAGTGTTTCTAATTCAGCAGGCAGGATGGAGGGATGAAGGGAAGAGCTCCACCTGCCGGCCGGATTCAGGATTACAACAGGAGACAGCATTGGAGTTTTGCCGAGGATCTCAGGTATCATCAACCTTGTGCACATGACAACGGAGGCACACAGTTTCCAGGCCTGGTTTCTTTACTTCAGAATGTCTGGACAGTCCCCATATTATGTCATCCTGATTTCTTTTTCTTTTTTTGTCATCCTGTTCTTTTAAAGAATACCAGGCTCTCCTAGTGTATACCTCTCTCATTGTCATGGCGAATCTATAAGATGGTTTTTGTTTTGGTTTTGTTTTTTTTTTTGGTTTTTCGAGACAGGGTTTCTCTGTGGCCTAAGATTTTTTTTAGCATCTGAAAAAGAACACAAGGTCTATTTCATAGCAGCCTATAACATTTGAAAACAATTTGTAGATGGAAACTATAAATAAGAAGGAATAGTATCGACCAGCAGGTTGGCTCACTGAGTAAAGGTGCTTTTCAAAGAACCCGATGATCTGAGTTAGGGCCCTACAACTCACTTGGTGGAAGGAGAGAACTGACCCCCCCCCAAAGGTTATCCTGTGACCTCCACAAGTGTACACAGCAGGTGCACACCCACACATGTAACCACAAGCACAATCGATTAATTAAAAATGTAAGGAAAATTTAAAAATAAAAATATCACAAACTTAACGTTATAAAAATATAGTAGAAGAATACAGACATTCGGTGTGCAGGCCTTGAGGTCACCTCACCTAAATTATCACCTGAGGTTGTTCTCTACCGGGTGATATGGGGATAAGGATACTTGTTTGCAGGAGGCCAAAAGGATTGCATATGTCAAGGTCTTCTGCCATGATCCCTGAGCCTTAGGTGCAGGAGTTATGTTCTAGTTCTAGATGTTATCGGCTGGGGCTCTTGTTCTCTGCCTTTTGATTGGCTGTGGTTTTCTTTAATAATCTTTATCTGTTGAAAAGAGAAGTTTCTTTAAATTATCTCAAAGGTAGGCACGGAGCTGGTGGAGATGGTTCAGTGAGTTAAAGTACTTGCTGCCAAGCCTGAACCCCTGGGTTCAACCCCAGGACCTACATGGTGGAAGAAGGAAAGTCACTCCCTACAAGTTGTCATCTGACCTACACACACACACACACACACACACACACACGACACTACATGTAATAAAGACAGTTCAAAGCCATGTGTGGTGGCATATATCTACTAACTGCAGCACTTAGGAGGTAGGGGCAGGAAGGTTAGGAGTTCAGAGTTATTCTTGGCTACTTCGGGAGGAGTTCAGAACCAGACTGTACAACATGAGATTTTTGTTTCAAATGAAAAGCTGGAAATCTATTTTCAGTAAAATATGTTATTGTAAATTTAAATTTTATCATTAAAAATTAAATTATCTTTTCACCCCTTATCAAAGAAATGTCTGTGACTTTGAGGCCAGCCTGGTCTACACAGAGAATTCCAGGACAACCAGTGCTACAAAAAGAGACTTTTATCTCAAAAAGACACCAAACTAAACCCAAAGAAAAAAATCCAAAGAATAATAAACTAGCTCAAAAATTTCCCAAGGTGGGGCTGGAGAGATGGCTCAGCGGTTAAGAGCACTGCCTGCTCTTCTGGAGGTCCTGAGTTCAATTCCCAGCAACCACATGGTGGCTCACAACCATCTGTAAGGAGGTCTGGTGCCCTCTTCTGGCCTACAGGCATACACGTAGAAATTGTATACATAATAAATAAATAAATAAATAAATAAATAAATAAATAAATAAATAAATAAATAAATATTTAAAAAGATTTCCCAAGGTGTTTTAGTTACTTTTCTATTGCTGTGAAAAGACACCGTAATCAAGGGAACTTATAACAGAAAGCACTTTTTTTTTTTTTTTTTTTGAGACAGGGTTTCTTTGTGGCTTTGGAGCCTGTCCTGGAACTAGCTCTTGTAGACCAGGCTGGTCTCGAACTCACAGAGATCTGCCTGCCTCTGCCTTCCGAGTGCTGGGATTAAAGGCGTGCGCCATCATCGCCTGGCCAGAAAGCACTTATTTGAAGCTTACAGTTTCAGAGAGTTAGAATCCACAGCCATTACTCATGGCAGCAGCGGGCAGGCATGATGTTGGAGCAGTGGTTGAGAGCTGACACCTTGGTGCACAAGTAGGAAGGAGGCAGAGAGCTAACTGGGAATGGTGTGGGGTTTTGAAACCTCAAAGCCCTTCCCAGTGACACACCTCCTCCAGCAAGGCCATACCTCCTAATCCTTCCCAAACAGCTCCACCAGGTATTTCAACACATGAACCTATGGAGGTCATTCTGAATGAGCATTCTGAATAGACCACCACAGAAGGGAATTAGTGAGCTTGTACTGATACTATGTGCTTTTCTTTTTTTAATCCCTCCATGTTCCTCCAGGCTAGTCTAGAACTTCTGGGCTCATGCAATCCTCCTTTCTCAACTCCCAGAAGAAAAGGACTACAGGCATGTGCCACCACATCTGGCTATATGAAAGACTTTTAGGTTAAAGAAAAAGTGACGCTTAGCAGTACACATCTGTAATTTCAGCACATAGTAGGTGGAGGCAGGAAGATTAGGAGTTCAAGGCCAGCCTGAGCTCCATGAGAACCTAGCCCCACAAATCAGTCAAACAACAAAGACATGTTAAGTATCTTCCTGTAATTTGTGTGTGTGTGTCTGTGTGTGCTAAGGATTGAACCAGGGCAAGATTTATCCCTACAGCACTCTGCATGCGATAGTCAAGAGCATCTAGTTTATAATTCAGAACTTTTCCTGAGCCCGATAATGTTTTCTTATCTATAAAACCGTGGCGACAGAATGATAGAAATACCATAGCTCTGATTTTAGAATTCAATCAGATTATATTTGTAGAAGCACACAACCCTTCATCAGGTAACCTCTCAATCAATATTGAACGCTTTTTCCCTGTTGGGGCAAAACGGAGGGTGATAAAGAGGAATGATTTTCCACGCGGGGTAGCGCCTCTTAATATACTTCAAGGAAAAATCCCAGGGGAATCTGCGAATTCGTTCCAGAATACATCCATCATTGCCACCCCCAGGCAAAGAGTCTTCCCATACGCCACGCCCCTTTCATCTTTCGTTAAAGATGAAACCGCTAAGATGCATAGCTCCCGCTCTTCTCCATCTTTTCTTGCTACGAGACGTCAGGCCCTCACCCATCAAATCCTTTATTTACCTCCCTCCCCCTTCGCGTTCTAATTTACCTCCCTCAATAACTCTTGCCAATCAGGGTGCAATTGTCTCTTTCTCCCCACCCCGCCCCACAATGCCTTTTTGGCCCATTACGAAGAAGGTTTGTGACTGGTTGTTTCGGAGCAAGGCTAAGCCAATGAGAGGCAGACCTTTTCGGCTTTGCCGAGCAATTATTGTCGACGCTGATTGGCTGGAGCGGCCGAGAGGAAAATGGCTGCGAATACCTCGGTAGTCTCTGTGGCCGCGGCGGCGGCCGCGGTACCGGGCGTGTCCCCTGGCGCGGATTTCTCAGACTTGCGAGAAATTAAGAAGCAGCTGCTGCTCATCGCGGGGCTCACCCGGGAGCGGGGCCTGCTTCACAGCAGCAAATGGTGAGAGGTCGCGGTCGGATGGGGCGGTGCTGGATCTCGGCCTCGGGGGTCTCGCGTGGCTGATGCAGTTTGCGTGGTGTTCCAGGTCCGCGGAGTTGGCCTTCTCTCTGCCCGCCTTGCCTTTGTCCGAGCTGCAGCCGCCGCCGCCTCTAACAGAGGTAAGGACGTCGTTACAGTGGCGTTCCCTAGCCACAGAGGGATGCGGCCCAAGAGGTCCTCAGCGCCCTGTCACTGGAGGAGAGCCCACTGCTCGGTGGAAATGATGTAGCTGAGACGCCGGCGTTTGAACTGGGCCTTACGAGCGAGTTCATGTGTGGGGGTTGCTTGTGCCTTGGAAGATGTAGTCTCTGCTGTTACTTAAGCTGGGGAGAACTAGTAAACAATTACTGTTTGAGATTTCAGCCTTGATGGGGTGGAAGGGATGGCTCAATGGTTAAGAACCTCTGTTCGATTTCCAGCACCCTCAGCAGGCGTCTCAAAATCTCTTGCAACTCCAGCTCTTCAGGGGATCCCACACCGTGTACACACACCTATGCAGTATATGGATACACATGCATACACATAAAGAAAAAGAAATCATTTCTAAAAAATTCATCCCTGGCCTGGAGAGATGGCTCATCGATTAGCAGCACTCGCTCCTCTTCTAGAAGAGCTGGATTTGATTCCTAGTATACACAGAGGCAGCTAACAAGTTACCTGCAACAAAGTTCCGGGGAGATCCGATGCCGTCTTCTGGCGTGGGACGGCACCAGGCATGCATGAGGTGTGCAGACACATGCAGGCAAACCATTCACACACAGAAAACAAAAACAAACCAACCCTTGGAGCCTTTAGGGTGTGAGGTCAGCCTGGACAATGCTAATAAGAAACATGAAATCATTCTTCTACACTGTAGCTCTTCGCTGCAGATTGATTAGAGTCTGTGTCACATGCTTTTAACCCCACTCAGGAGGCAGAGGCAGAGGCAGGCAGATCTCTGTGTTTGAGGCCAGCCTGGTCTACAGAGCAAGTTCCAGGACAGCCAAGGCTACACGGAGAAACCCTGTCTCCGTCTCCTCCTCCGAAAGTGTTCTAGGCACATACGATTCAGTAAAATTAACCATTCTCATTAGCAAAAGGAGGTAGAGTGCAGGCGACTTGCACGCAGGTTTTCTTCTGTATTTCAGGCATGTTCTCTACTAAAACCATCAATGTTGGCAGGTGGCAAGCTTTCTGCAGCTGGGTGTGGTGGCTCATGCCTGTAATTGCAACACTTGGGGTCCTGAGGCAGGGGGATTGCCAATTGTTTGCGGCCAGCCTATTGAGCAAGCACCTACTTCAACCCTCCAACCCCCTCCTAAAAGTGACAGCCTTTTCAGTTGTAGATAATACTAATAAATTTCCATTTTCCAAGAAGATTAAGTAAAGCAATGAGGGTAAAATTAGACATATATTATTTTATATGACTTTTTAAAGTCATTGTGATTTGCATCTGTCTTATTAGCTTGTATTTCTCTGTGCTGACTGTCACAGTGCCTAGGCACATGGGTGTCCGTAGCAGGATAAAGCTTTGTTGAATGAGTAAACAATGAACACTCTCAAGTGAGAGAAGAGCTTCAGTAAATAGCCCCCTCTCGAGAATTTATGTCACTTGGACCAGATAAGATGCCGACAGCTTGAGTTGGACTCCTGGACCACACAAGATGGAGGGAGAGAACTGACTTCTGAAAGTTGTTCTTTGGTCTCTACTTACTCTCTCTCTCTCTAAGTAAATGCAAAATACATAAATAATTTTTAAGAACTCACATAACACTTACAGACATTAAGTGTTAGCTATTGGTGAGGTTAATAGCTTCCAGGTTGCTGCGAGATATGTTGACTCTCTTTGCTGAATTGTTGAGCACGTATTTATTTATTTCTCGCTAGGAACTGGCATGAAAGAAACATTTAAGTCTAATTTAGCCTTGATCTGTAATTTAGAGTAAACATTAAAACTTCAGGGGTTTGGTTTTTGTTTTGTTTTCTTTTAGGTACTGGATCTAGGACCTGTGCTAAGCAAACTTTCAACACTGAGCTGTGTTTTATATTGTCAGTTCTCTTTCTACTTAAACAAAAAGATTTGTTTTCATTTTATGTGTCTGGGTGTTTGCCTGTGTGTTTGCGTCTGTGTGTGTGTGTGTGTGTGTGTGTGTGTGTGTGTGTGTGTGTGCGCGCGCGCGTGTCATGGAGGGCAGAAGGTAGCCTGCAGGAGTAGGCGCAGTTTTTCTTTCCTGCAGCCACTCTCAAATAATCACTCACAGGCTTAATATAAATTATAAATGCTTGGCTAATAGCTCAGACTTATTACTAACTAGCACTTAAAACTTAACCCATTCCTATTAGTCTAATGCTGCCCCAAGGCTCTTGGCTTTTACTTCTATCATATTTTGAATGTCTGACTCATTGTCCATCTAGCTGGCAACTTCTCTAACTCTACCCTTCCTCATCTCATCATTCTCAATTTGACTTTCCCACCTAATTTGATATGTTTAGCTATTGGCCTGTCAGCTTGTTTATTAAACCAATCATAGTGGCATATTCACACAGTGTACAGAAGGCTTATTCCATAGCCTGCAGGGGTTGGTTCTCCTACTATGTGGGTCCTGGGAATTGACTCATGTTTTCAGGCTTGGTGGCAAGTGTTCTTAACCTTCTGAGTCATCTTGCACAAACCCAGGCTTGTGTGTGACAAGCAGGCATATTCACCATTATAATAGAGGATGACCCTTTTTTCTCCCCTCAAGATACCGTTTTCTCTTCTCCCTATTCTTTTTGCTCCTTTTGACTTTCCTCCCCTCTTCTCTTTTGACACGGGGCCTCTTGTTGCCCAGGTTGTCTTGAGATTGGCTGTAAAGCTGAGAATAACTTGAATTCATCCTCCTGCTTCTACCTCCCAAGTGTGGGGATTATAGGCATACCCTGGGGTTACAGGTGTAGGCTGCTATGTCTGGTTTTTGTGTGAGCTCTGGGAATGCAAATTCAGGTGATAATGTGTGTGTGGCAGATACTTTACTCATTGAGCCAACCCCCAAACTCCAACCTTCTTTCCTTCCTTTTTCTTTTTTCTTTCTTTTTTTTTTTTTTTTTTTTTGAGACAGAGTGTCATTATATAGCACTGGCTGGCCTGAATCTCACTCTGTAGTCCGGGCTTGGTTTTAAGTCACAGAGATCTGAGTGCTAGGATTGTGCCACTTTTTATTTTGAAAAAAAAAAAAAAAAAAAAAAAACAACTTTGGAAAAAAGGTTCTTTGCCTTTACAGGTGATACACGTATTAAAAACTACTGTATAAATGCATGTATTTACATATTTTGGGGGAGGAGAAATAGTTAATCTTTTCCTTTATCTTGCAATTAATGGATATGCTTTTTAAGGTGAACTTTGGCTGTCTTAGTCTTAGCCACTCACACAATCCTGTTTTTTCTAGGAGGACGCTCAGGATGTGGATGCCTACACCCTGGCCAAGGCTTACTTTGATGTTAAAGAGTATGATCGGGCAGCACATTTCCTGCATGGCTGCAATAGCAAGAAAGCCTATTTCCTGTATATGTATTCCAGATACCTGGTGAGGGTCACTTTAAGATGTTATTCTGCCTTCAGGGAAACATCTGAATTTAGAACCAAGAGGAAAATTTTTATTAAAAATAAATTAGATATACATATGTGTATATGTATGTGTATATATATATGAATGAATGTTTTATGTGTATATATGTATGTGTATCATGGGTGGGCCTAATACAAGCAGAGGCCTGAAGAGGAGTTACAGATGGTTATGAGCTGCTATGTGTATGCAGGGATTTGAATATGGGCCATCTAGAAGAGCAACCAGTGCTCTTGACCACTGAGTCATTTTTCTAGCCTTGAAAAAGTTTAATTTTTAAATACCTAGGTAGTAGGTCACCAAGTGAATATGCTTAATGACAATATTGCAATAAAAATAATAATAATAGGAATAAAAATAGGAAGCCAGACCTGGTAGTGCACACCTTTAATTCTAGCACTTGGGAGGCAGAGGCAGGTGAATCTTTATGAATTTCTAGCAGACTAGGGCTACACAAAGTTAAAAAAAAAAAGAGTAACAAAGTTTAAAAAAATAGCAACGTATATGTAGGTAGGATGATTATTAACAGGATGACTCTTTTCTCTGGGTTATTATTGCATTGATACTACTGCTTAAGAATTGGTAGGGTGTGGTGGTGTCTATAATCTCCACATTATAGATGCAGAGAGCTCAGGATCCCAGGGAGTTCGAGGCTATCTTGGTCTGCACAGTGACGAAGTGAGTTCCAGGCCAGGTAGTGGTAGAGATCCTAACTTAAAACGAAAGGCCTGAAAGCAGGACACGATGGTATACAAGTAGAATCCTAGTACTTGGGATGCCAAGGCAGAAGGAGTAAGAGTTTGAGACCAGTTTGTGCTACCTGGTATGATCCTGTCTCAGTAAACAAACAAACAAAAAGCAAAAAAAATAAAAATAAAAATAAAGGAACCCACACCCTAAAAATTCTACAATTGAGTTAAAAAAGTATCAGTTGATTTAAAGTTTTATAAACTCACTTTACACTTATTTGTAGTATATTTATTACTTTGTTAAAAATTTTGATAAAAAGGACAATGCAACCTTGTATGGCAGCATACACTTGTAATCCTAGCACTCGAAAGGCAGAGGCAGGAGGTTTTCTCCTAGTTCAAAACCTGCCTGGTCTATATTGAAAAGTCCAGGTCAGCTATGGCTATAATAGTGAAAACCTGCCTCAGAAAACCTAAATAAATAAGAAATGGCAAGGTAAGTAAAATTAATATTGTATTTGTAATTGTCTTGGATACTGTCCTACTGTGTAACATAGCCCAGGCTGCCCTGGAACGGTTGTCCTGCCTGTACCTCTGCAGAGTGCCAGGTTTACAGGCATGTACTACCACATACAGCCTTTCTTGGGTTTTCTTTCTTTTGTTTCTTTCCAAGACTGGGTTTCTGTGTGTAGCCCTAAACATCTTGGAACTCACTCCATAGACCAGGCTGCCCTCGAACTCATAGAGATCCACCTGCCTCTGCCTCCTGAGTGCTAGGATTAAAGGCGTGCGCCACCACCACCCTGCTGGATTCTCATGTTTTTAACTGTCTATAATTCATCATTATATTTAAGTCTTTGGTGCTCAATGTACTCACATTTAGCCAGTGGGAACACCTGAATGAATGGTTGTTTATAAGGCAAGTGTTATTTTGCGAAGACTTTAGTTAGCCTTGTAGATAGAGTCAGGCTGCTGCTTTTAGGAAGCATTTAGAATAAGGTGAGAAACCTGTTTATTGATTCTCTCCCTCTCTTACAGTCTGGAGAGAAAAAGAAGGACGATGAGACAGTTGATAGCCTAGGTATGTCTTTTCTTTTTCCTGTCTAACCTTTTGTCCTAGAAAGCAGATCTGCATGCTTAGATGCTGTATAGGCCATTGCAGGGTCCATCAGTAGACTCCATGGCTCATGATTTATCTCAGCTTCGGGCTGTCCACCCAGCTCCACCGCTTGGTTGCTGTGAGAGTTGGCTTGCTTCCCTTAACCCATACTTGATTTCTGCAACCTAAGGTGGACAATTCAGTTTTAATTGAAACTTGTGATTTGTAAATATTGATAACCTACGACTGCACACCAGCCATCATCTCGAGTAAATGGATTGTGTGAGGGGTTGCAGGGATAATTTTGGTTGATGATAACAAATATATGTGTGTGTCTGAGGATGAATAATTCTTTCTCTCCTAGGACCCCTAGAAAAAGGACAGGTGAAAAACGAGGCTCTCCGAGAGCTGAGAGTGGAGCTCAGCAGGAAGCACCAGGCCCGGGGACTTGATGGCTTTGGCCTTTACCTGTGAGTGTCACCAGGGGTTGGCGCTTTCAGCAGCGTGTTTGCCCCTTGAGGAGAGGAGAAGGGAGGAGACATTCTCAGGCTTTAACCTCCCTGGTGGCTCTGACTTTCTTTCCCAGGTATGGGGTGGTGCTTCGGAAACTGGACTTGGTGAAAGAGGCCATTGATGTGTTTGTGGAGGCTACTCATGTTTTGCCTTTGCACTGGGGAGCCTGGTTGGAGCTGTGTAACCTGATCACAGACAAAGAGATGGTGAGTTGACCTAAGCTTCATGGGGAAACCTGTGATAGTGTTGTGGGGAGAACGTGCTCTCACTGTGAACTTGGTTCAGAGCTGGCTCTTTGCAGTTCCCCAGCCCCTCCACTGTTCTGTTTGTGGGAACTTGCTAAGTAGCTTGGGTTTATTTAACTTGTGGTTCTTCTGCCTCCACATACCTACCTCCCTGGCAGCACAGGTGTATACTCTCATGCCTGGCTTTTTGTTTGTTTGAGACAGAGGCTCTCTATGTAACCCTGGCTATCCTGAAACTCTGTGTAGACCAGGCTGCCTCTGTCTCCTATTAAAGGTATGTGCCTTTATGACCTGCCCTGAAATCTTTTTTATTAGTTGCTGCCTGTGAATTTTGTTTATTTATTTATTTAGTATGCAATGTTCTGCCTGCATGTCTGCCTGCAGGCCAGAAGAGGGCACCAGATCTTGATACAGATGGTTGTGAGCCACCACATGGTTGCTGGGAATTGAACTCCCGACCTTTGAAAAACAGGCAGTGCTCTTAACAACTGAGCCATCTCTCCAGCCCTGTGAATTTTGTTTAGTATTCATTTTGTCCTTTAGTAGTTGATAGAACAACACACTTCCTTTCTTTTGTTGCTCCTAAATTGCTAAAGGTAGACCAGGCGTGGTGGTGAGTGCCTTTAATCCCAGCACCTGGGAGGCGGGTCTTTATGAGTTCAAGGCTATCCATTTTTCTGTGTCTTGAATTCCAGGCCAGCCAGGGCTAAGACTGTTGTATGGAGCGGCAGCGGGCTAGCTTTACCCGAAATAACTGCGCGGAAATTGTATTCTTTTAAACACTGCCTGACCCATTAGTTCCATCCTCTTATTGGCTAATTCTCACATCTCAATTAACCCATTTCTAATAATGTGTGTAGCCCCACGAGGTGTGGCTTACCAGGAAAGATCTTAACCTGCGTCTGTCTGGAGTGGGAGAATCATGGTGACTGCCAGACTCAGCTTCTTTCTCCCAGCATTCTGTTCTGTCTACTCCGCCTACCTAATTTTCTGTCCTATCAGGCCAAGCAGTTTTTTATTAGTTAACCAATGAAAGCAACAGATAAGATACAAGACCCATCTCCATCATAAGACCTTGTTTTAAAAACTACAAAAGCTAAAGGTGGGTTCATTCTTCTGTTCCCACAACAATGGTTTGTACTGCTCAGTCAGTGTCTGAAAATGTATCTTTATTTGTATTCCCCCTACATGAGGCTTCCCTTGTAATCAAATTATGCAGAAGCAATTTTTTCATCTTGCATATCAAAATCTCTTTTTCTTATGTATACAGTGTTCTGTCTGCATTTATGCCTACTCTCCAGAAGAGGGCACCAGATCTCATTACAGATGGTTGTGAGCCACCATGCGGTTGCTGGGAATTGAACTCAGGACCTCAGGAAGAGCAATCAGTGCTCTTAACCTCTGAGCCATCTCTCCAGCCCCCTCTCTTTTTCCTATCAGATTTTTTCTTCCTTCCAGCTTCATCATTATTACTATCACTACTCAAGATACCCTGAGTTTGGGTATGGGTGGTTACTATTGGTTCTGAACATAGTAGGCATTAATTCTAGATCCTTCCCTGAGCTGAGAAAGCTCTCCACCACTGACCTGCATCTTAAGTCCGAGACATCCAGTCTCAACACCTCCAAGTCTTTCACCTCCTTTTCTCCTGTCTCTCTTTGCTGGGAGGAAGCAGTGCTGTGGTCGCTTTTCTATGGGAATCTTTCTCTTGGTTGCTTGTCACCTCTCTTTGCATCTCAGACCTGGATTACTTAATTAATAATAGATACTTTCTCTCTAGCTTCTGATTTACAACACTCTTCCATTTCTAAGTTATCCTGTGCATAGTTTCTAAAATTCCTTTTTAAAAAGTGTTTAAAAAAAGATTTATTTTTGCCTGGGTGCGTGTATGTGCACCATATGTGTGCATGGTGCCCAAGGAAGTCAGAAGAAAGCATCTGAATCTCTGGAATTACAGGCACCTGTGAGCCACCCTGTAGGTGTTGGGACAGAACTCAGATCTGCTGCAAGAACACCCCCACCCCCTCAGAGTGATCCCTTTATGTAGCCCTGGCTGACCTGAGCTCTCTATGTAGACCAGGATATCCCAGAGATCCTCTTACCTTACCTCCCAAGGAAGAGACAGGGTTTCTCAGTGTAGGTCTGACTGTACTGGAATTTGCTGTGTAGTTCAGGCTGGCCTTGAACTCATCACGATCCTCCTGCTTCTACCTTCCGAGTGGTGCTAGGATTAAAAATGTGCACCACCACACTTAGCTCTTTTTTTTTTTTTCTTTTGTTTTTTCAAGACAGGGTTTCTCAGTAGCTCTGGAGCCTGTTCTAGGACTTACTCTGTAGATCAGGTTGGCTTCGAACTCACAGAGATCCACCTGCCTCTGCCTCCTGAGTGCTGAGATTAAAGGCTTGCACCACCACTGCTTGAAAAGATGATCTCTCTGTTAAGACTAGGCTGACATCAGATTCATGGCTGTCTTTCTGTCTCAGCTTCCTGGGTACTGGAATTATAAGGAGGAGACATCATAAAACACTTTGGGCAGAAATTTTCAGTAGTTTCTTAACTGTATCTTGTTTTCTAGTGTGTGATGGGGTCTACTTTTTTTGACGCAAAGCTTCCTTAAGCAAAGCTAGTTTTAATCACTGTACTCCTGTTGCTGCCTTTACCTGGAATGCTGTTTCCTCTCTTCTCTCTATTCTATTTAGATTCTGCTCATTCTCAAGTTTTGTGGGTTTTGTTTGTTTGTTTAAGTCTATCCTACTGGGCCGTTCTCCCCTAATTATGCTTCTAAGTCAGATTCAGTGGGGTACCCTGTATTCATTTGTAGATGTTCATTAAGATTTTAGTGATGAATCCTTTTAGAACGTAATGATCTTTGGTGTTGCTTTGGGAGAAAGACCAGATTATACTAAGTGTGTCCCTCTCTCTGGGTGCTAGCTGAAGTTCCTGTCTTTGCCTGACACCTGGATGAAGGAATTCTTCCTGGCTCATATATACACAGAGTTGCAGCTGATAGAGGAGGCCCTGCAGAAGTATCAGCATCTCATTGATGTGGGCTTCTCCAAGAGCTCATACATTGTTTCCCAGATCGCAGTTGCCTATCACAATATCAGAGGTGAGTGAACAAGGGTGCTGGAGTGCCAACAGACTCGGGCTGCAGTTAGTCGGGCTTTGAACTCTGCCTTCTTTCTTTCAGATATCGACAAAGCCCTTTCTATTTTTAATGAGCTGAGGAAGCAAGATCCTTACCGGATTGAAAATATGGACACATTCTCCAATCTTCTTTATGTCAGGGTAATTTGTTCCTCCTGATTGAGCTTGATGAAGCTCCTGGATTAGATAGCATGTTTGCATGAGCTGAAGAGTGAACACCTTCTGGGTGCTTCATCAGGCTCACATGATCTTCCTCTTTCTTCCCAGAGTATGAAGTCTGAATTGAGTTATCTGGCACATAACCTCTGTGAAATTGATAAGTACCGAGTAGAAACATGCTGTGTAATTGGTGAGAGTTGGCTACTTTTTTCTTTTAAGATCTCTGTCTGTCTCTCTCGCTCTCATCTCTTTGTTGAGTCAAAGTCTCTCTATATAGCACTGGAACTTGCTGTGTAGACCAGGTTGGCCTTGAACTCACAGAGATCTGCCTGCCTCTGTCTCCAAAGTGCTGGGTTTCTATAGAGACCAGAAGAGGGCTTGGTCCTTGGAACTGGAATTATAGGTAGTTGTGAGTGGCCATGTGGATGCTGGACATTGAATTTAGGTCCTTTGGTACAGCAGTGCTCTGAACTGATGAGCCCCATCCTAGAGGTGTTTTGAGAGAGGGTCTCTCTCACCCTAGCCCAGAATGACCTAGAACCCTTTAGTCTTTACTGGCTTGTAACTCCTGGTGGTTCTTCTGCTTTTGTTTGTGCTCACGCCTTGACCTATGAGTGCAGGTGGCCACAGAGTCTAGATGTGTCAGATCATTCTGGGCCTCACAACACAGACGCCCTCTAAGGGCAGTGTGCACCCTTAGCCTAGCTGCTGAGGCGCCTCTCCAAGAACTCCCTTTGGCTTCCTTTTGTTTTTCTGAGATAGTTCTCTCAGTTAGCTTCAGCCTGCTTCAGCTTGGAATGTAACCAGTGGAGGGTGACCCTGAACTGCTGATTCTGCTGCCACCTCCCAGAGACCAAGCTCACAGCTCACGGGAATGTGCTACCCTACCCAGCTAGTATTTGGTTGTTTGTTTTCCAGACAGAATCCATGTCTACAATTCACTGTATGACTGTGGGTGACCTTAGCCTCCTGACTACTCTCAAGCATTGAGATTGCAGGTGTAGGCGTACTCGCTTTGTTTTTTAAAAAGACATAGTAGAGACTTCTGTAGAGCCCTGACTGTAGAGAACTGACTATGTAGACCAGGCTGACCTAGACCTCAGAAACATCCTCCTACCTCTGCCTCCTAAGTACTGGGTTTAAAGGCATGAACCATTTTCCCTGGTGGCAAAGATTCTTATAGAGGGCATGAAACCCTGTTGCTTTAAAGCTTCTAGGTGAATATGAAATTGAGTTTGAATGTAAATAATCAGACATAGAGTAGAAACAGTGAATATAATTAATTTCTAATAAAACTATTTTAAAAACATACCAGGAATTTTTGTTGTTGTTGTTATCTTACCAAAATGGAATCTTTTATACAATAACTTCAAATTTTCATTATTTTATTTAATAATATCTCATGTTCTCTACAAGTTAATATATATTGAAATCTATGTTTGACTGGCTTACTGTGTACATATAAGTTATACATAAGGGAAATTTTATTTTGATTTTTGGGGTAAGGTCTCAACCTATAGCCTAGGCTGGACTGGAATTTACTGTGTGGCCCAAGGTGACCTGCAGCTTTAGGCAGACCTGCCTCATCCTCCTAAGTGGGGTCACTGAAGCCAACCAAAGGGGGCGGCTGTAGAATATTGTTTTGGTTGTTGCGCTTTTCCTCTTTATTATACTTGTTTGAATGTGTTGTCATCCCATATATAACAGTGGTCTAAATTTTTTTTTAATTTATTATTTTTTTTTGTTTGTTTGTTTTTTGTTTTTTGAGACAGGGTTTCTCTGTGGCTTTGGAGCCTGTCCTGGAACTAGCTCTGTAGACCAGGCTGGTCTTGAACTCACAGAGATCCGCCTGCCTCTACCTCCCCAGTGCTGGGATTAAAGGCGTGCCCCACCACCACCCAGCAAAGAAAGGTGGTTCATGCATTGTTTTTTTTTTTTGTTTTGTTTTGTTTTGTTTTTTTGTTTTTTTTCTTTTCTTCGAGACAGGCTTTCTCTGTGTAGCTTTGGAGCCTGTCCTGGAGCTGGCTGTTGTAGACCAGGCTCTAAAATTATTTTTATTGCTACTGTTAATGAATTTTAATGTAAATATTTGTGTTTTCCAATAGTCCTAGGCTATCCCTGTGAAAGGATCATTCAAACCCCAAGGTCCTGTGACCCACAGATTGATAACTACTGATAAAAAATACACACATATGTCAGATGTGATGATTATTTGCTTTGTAAAAGTAGTCCAAAAAAAAAAAAAAAGTAGTCCAAATTATATTCTTACCTATGCTTTTTATTTTTCTGTATGTCATGAAAATCTCTTCAGGTTGGAACTGGGTTCAACAGTAGAGTGCTTTCCTAGGCCCCAGATTCATTGTTCAGCACTAATAAATGAGAAAGTAAATACAGTTTTTTTTTTAAAGATTTATTTATTTATTATGTATACAACATTCTTTCCATGTATGTTTGTATGCTAGAAGAGGGCACCAGATCTCATTATAGATGGTTGTGAGCCACCATGTGGTTGCTGGGAATTGAACTCAGGACCTTTGGAGGAGCAGGCAATGCTCTTAACCACTGAGCCATCTCTCCAGCCC